ACATTGATTCAAAGATATTTCAAACTCTTGAACTCTTCAACTCTTGAAACTCAAGAAATACGTCAAAAGTATAAACAAAATTTGATAAAAAATATTAACTGTTCACTTCTAAATAAAAAAATCAGGATGTTTTGATTGCTTTTTTATTTCTCTATCCTGTTGAAGTTTTAAATCTCTTTTCTTTTATCTCAAGTTGCTTCAATTTTTTTATTTTTGCAGCCTCAACCTTTTCCTCTTTTTTTTTTAGATCATATAACTTGGCTTCCATAACAACAACAACAACAACAACAACAACAAGCTATTTATTTTCCATTTTAAAATCATTTTTACAATAATAAGATAAATAATAACAACAATAATTATAAAATAATAAGCAATAGTAATAATTTATATGAGCATAGCTTCAGGAGAAGTTAGAACAAAATACTTTTGTTTAGTATTTCTATTGTTTTTGACTTATCGACATAAAAATTTAGGTAAGATCATGATCATTGCCAATAGTACTTTTCAATGAACTTTTTTAAACAGATATTGGACTAGAACAATCGACACTAATATTTGGTATAGAGACAGAGTGAATAACAGTTTCTTTTGAAAAAGGAATTGTTTCAGCAGCTTCTTCTAATGAGAGATCAAAAGAAACAAATTGTCAGAAATATCAAAACCATTTTGATAATAGAAATTAAAAGCAGTCAAATGCTTTTTATTTCTGTTATCAAAATTATCAAATCATAGGTTTTATTTATTATTCCGTAATGTTTTATTTTTTCTAAAAGAATGAGGTGATCAACCGTATCAAATGTTTTTAATAGGTCAATAATTAATCCTAGAGTAAATTTATTATTATCAAATCCTTTAGTAATTTGGCCTACTATTTTAATTATTGCGTGTTCAGTTGAAAGGCTTTTCTGAAAACCAAGCTTTTTTGTGTAAAATAAATTATTTTCATTAAATAGTTTCAGATTTTATTATAAACTACATGTTCAAATATTTAAAAATACAGAAAGTACTTAATACAGGTCTATATTTGGAGATTTCAGATTGATAATTATTTTTGTAAATTGGACATACTTCCCAAAAAACACGAATTTTTTGATTAGTACTTCATTATTAAAAAAATTAGTATCTTTTAGTTTCGATGTTTCGTTATCAGTGATCGCTTTTTGTCCTCGTAGTCGTGCAGTTTCAAAACAATTGTTTATTCGCGATTTTTATTTAAAACGTAGCTCTGTGAGCTCTTTCAATTTTAACTTCTCTTTTTATGTTCACATTTTCAGCAAAGAGTTTCTTTACTTTTTCTTTGGTTTTTCTCAATCTTTTTCATCGCTACTCTCAAGTAAACCATCAATATGCGAGTTGTTTCTTTGATTTCAATCTTCTATATCAATAGATTTTAACTTTAGGTTGTTGCTATCAGTCGAAATTTTCTCCTGTATTATCTTTACCCTGGATAATTCTTCTTTGACTTTATGAATTTTTTTATTTACACAATCAGGCTTATCGTTGCAGGTATCACCAACAAATGCTAAGCTAGCTTTAATATCATCAAGATCCTTTTTTATGTCTTGAATGTTTTTTTGAACTGATTCAAATTTTCTATTTATCATGTTAACTGTTTTTTTTTTTTTTTTTTTTTTTTGCCAAATAATTTTTTAATAATACAAATTTTAACATATTACAAATTTTGCGGCAGGACTTAACAATGCTTTTTAGTATCGAGTGTAATATAATATAAATACGTAATATTATAATGAAGTTATAAAAATTCGTAAAATAACAAAGAATATGAAGTTTAACAAAACACAGTAATAAAAAGTAACAAAATACAAACCATTAAATACATAAGTTTGCAAAAAACTCATGGAAATATTCGTAAATAGTAAAACATAATACAATAAAGTATAATATATCAGCAATAAATTGATAAAAACTCAAAAATAGATAAAGATGTTTTCAATTGAAAAGATAATTTCTTTAATTTTGGTTTTGAATGAGGAGTAGTTTAGTTTGATTGAAAAGTCAAAATTAGGTAAAACTATTTGGTTCTAAAGAAGAGGTCCACGATAGGACATACAAAATTCGTCGTATTTAGTTTTGCAAAAAGGAGCATTAAGATTGTTGTCAATTCGTAAATTATATTTGTTTTTCGGTTTTAAAGAATAAAGATATTGAAATACCTGTGGAGATAAATTTTCTTTACACTTGAACATAAAGCATAAAATATTAAAAATATTAAGTTGATAAACATTCAAAGCTTTCATATCTTTAAGAAGTGGCGCAGAGTGAGTAAGACAATTTTTAAAATTAATTGCGCGAGCTGCGTGTTTCTGATGATTAAAAAGAGTTTTAAGTTTTGTCTTTTGAGTGCTTCCCCATATAATATTTGCATAGTTTATATGACAGTGAACAAATGAATAGTACAGTTGAGTCAGCTGCCGTTTATTTAGTATGTTTCTAGCTTTATAAAGAATACCGATCCATTTGGAAACTCTAGAAGAGATAATGTTAATGTGATGTTTCCAAGTTAAATTTTCATCAATATAGATTCCTAGAAACTTTGTTATTTTTTCTCTTTTTATCATTACATTGTCAATATATAGTTCAGGTAACAAATGTGGTATTCTATGTTTTTTATAGAGTGGATAAAAAAGTGTCCATTTAGTTTTAGCTGTGTTGAGAGATAACCTATTTATTTTGAACCAATCAGAAACTTTTTTTAATTCATTTGTCATGTTGTTGAAAAGAATATTAATATTTTCATGAGATAGAAATAAATTTGTGTCGTCTGCAAAGATTATTTTTGTTAGGCTTGAAGTTTTATGAAGATCATTTAGATATATTATAAAGAGAAGAGGTCCAAGTATGGAGCCTTGTGGAACACCACACGTTACATTCATTAACACTTGAGACGAGGATTCTTTATTATAAACATATTGCTTACGATTTGTAAGATAGCTTTTTAACCAATTGAGGGTGTTATCTTTTATTCCATATGGTAATAATTTTTTTATTAGAATTTGATGGTTTCTGTAAAGAAAGAAAAGGATGTTTCTGTAAAAAGGATGTTTCTGTAAAGAAAGAAAAAAATGTTTCTCGCATTATTTATATTGAAACAACTTCAGCTGTGCTCATTTTAATTTATTTTTAATAGATAAAAAAGTTATAGTATACATAATATATTCAACACTTTCTCTTTCAAAAACTTAAAAAAATATATTTTTATTTCTTACGCTCCAAAAAACATACGAGTTAATTTTTTCACTCTTCAGTCGGCCACAAGAGACAAAATTTTTTTCTTCGATGTATCTAATTCCATTGCAATGTTAATTTTTATTAAGTTTTTGCTGTATTCTTTTTTGTACTTATTTATTCGCTCTGAAAGAGCTTTTTACTAAATATGAAAATTTCTACTGAGTTGCATCAAGTTTCATCAATCACAGATTTTGCAACTGCAGATTTTGCGGTTGTGAAAGCAAACTTTCTCAAGACCTTTTAAAAGTATTTTAGTTTTTGGATATTATAATATTTTTGTAAAAATATTATATCCAAAAATTTTAATAGATAAAAACTATGATTACGTTTTTTCTTTCCGTGAAGTTAAAAAAAGTATTTATATTATAATTGATAAAAAAACCTTTTATTATTGAAAAACGCGTATGTTTACGACGATGCTTGTTTATATTTGATAATTCCTGTTGGTCAACTGTCTTCCGCAAGGTTTGACTCAACTCTATAAATCTAGGTTTCAAAAGAGTAATCAAAAAAAGCCATCAGTCAAATTGAAAATAAGTATAGATAATCTTTTTAAAGGTTTTCTGTTAGTACTGAAACAATCTTTGACCTTTCAACCATGGGTACTAAACTTTTTTAGCCTAAGTATTATTCAAAAACTATGGAACTATTATAAAGAATTTATAATAGTTCCATAGTTTTTGAATAACACTTCTGTTGAAAACCTTTATGCACTGTAAAAACATATATTTTTCTTTTTCAATTTAAAGATGATTGATTTGGTTGTGTTTTGAAATCTTCTTCCATATTTTGCGTTTACTGGGATGAGTTCAAGGAGGTTTTTAGACTAACACGAATATATTAAAAATAAACTTTCATATTTTGGAATTCAAGTCATTGTATCATTTTTCTGTAAAACTAAAGCCACGCATTCTAAATTGCAAATATTCCTTTTGTAAGATACTTGCAAGTTTATCTAATGACATCATAAATAAACAACTTTTTGAATTTAAAGAGTTCAAGGAGTATCAAAAAGACTTTTGAAAAATCTCTTTAAAGAAAACAATTACGAATAACACTGAACTTGAGCGTTATTTTGGTACTCATTGTAATCAGAATCGGAACAAACCGTCAACTTAAAGAATTTCTCATTGTATAATTTTTAAATATACGAACCATTTGTGAAATGATGGTTCAGCCAATTAAGAAATATTTCGTAAAATAGGTTCTATTGATAAAAAAATTGAAAGTAGAAAATACATTTGAATACAGATACAATTGAGACACAGCAATTTAATATAAAAAGGAACAAGCTTTACATCAGGCGTTCTAAAGAAATTCTTATTAAAAAATAGATGGCGGCCTCGTACTCGAGCTGATTTACTTTTAAATCAAAATGTCAGTGTCACTTGTACCGATATACATGTAAATCAGTTATCGATGAATATATTGAAAAAGAACAAGATCTGTTAAAATCCAAAAAATAATTGAAAAATTAGATAATTTATTTTGGGTATACAAGTAAGTCATTATCATGGTGGAGATTAACTTTATTTAAAATCATGATTGTTGATTAAAATATAAAAAAGCGCCGTCCCATGTCTACAGAAGACTAAAGGTTTTACTTAAAAAGTCCTCACATGCATTGAAAAAATAAACAAACAAACAAAACAAAAAAAAAAAAAGTGAAATAAAAAAACACGCCAATAAATGTAAAACAATTAAGATATTTTTATAAACAATAAGATTTACATAAACTTAAAATCTTTTTCATCTTTTTCAATTGTTTATTTGGATTCGAATATCTTCTAATGAAAATAATCAAATTAATTTTAATTTATCACAAATGTATTTTCAATTTTTCTTTACAAAAAAAAGCATTATTAGCATACATACTAACTTAAAAAAGAAATTAGTGAAAAAGAATGTTCGAAATAAGTTGTAGCAAAACTATATAAACTAAATTTATTTATATAAAGAAACTATTCTTACTTACCATAAAAACTGATTGATATCTGCACCATAGTAAGTAGCAAATAAATAAGAAATCTTCAGAAACCCAGTAAAATTTTATGAAAAATATCAAACTTCAATGAAGCAACAATTGAAAGAATGCACGCATTCAAATATAAGACTGAAGCGTTTAGACATTTATAGGATAGAATCTGAAATATATATATTTATATATATATATATATATAAATATATCAGATAGAATCTGATATATATATATATATATATATATATATATATATATATATATATATATATATATATATATATATATATATATATATATATATATATATATATATATATATATATATATATATAAGTAGTATTTGCAGGCAGTAGCATTTTGATCTTCTGAAGCCTTAAATTTTATTAAATCTTATGGAACTTTTAAGAAATTTCAAGGCAGTTCTGGATGTTTTTAGAAATCTTTGAAACTTTCTCGAATTTCTGGAGTCTTCTAAAAGTTTATGGAAATTAGACTTTATAAGTTGTCTGATTGAGCAACTCTAGTAATTAAACATGAATCTGTATTCGCCAGGTGGCAGTCAAATGATATAAAAGTAAAATAGCACTTATATTTATTGTCTTTTCAGAAATATATTTAAGTATTATCTTTAAAATTAGTAATATTAATAAAACCAAAACTGCAATCAAATTAGTTATCTTCAAAAATTTTTTAAATTATCTTCAAAGTTATTAACTCTCAAAGCAGCAACCATTTGTCGATAGTTATCTTAAAATGGGATTGACATTTAGCAACTTTCACAGTCCTGCATATTCATATTAACTATTAAAGAAAATGTTAAACTTAAAGAAGAAATAAAGAAAACACTACAGTTTGAAAGCTGGTCACTGCACTTTGATGGTTAACGTCACCAAGAATATCAAGTGTTCGTTTTAAAAAAACAAACTAAGAGAAGTCTTGTTACAAGCAATGGATCTACAAAATTTTATTCTTCTACCAGAGAGAATAGACACATAACACATAACAAGCATTTATTTTTCTACCAGAGAGAAGAGACACATAACACATAACAAGCATTTATTTTTTTACCTGAGAGAAGAGACATAACTATACATTTGTAGATTTATCTTTTACAGATGTGCAGACAATTGGTTTACTTACGAAATGTACAATGCAGAAGGTTATTGGAAGCTATGCAGCAGCTGGCACGGTGACGTGAAAAAAAACGTTAAACTCAATCAAAAAGTTTTGGAATCAGGAACCGACACTGGAAATTCTAAGAAAAAATCAGTGTGCAGAACAAGCAATCAAGTGTCTTCAAGAACTTTTTGACATTTGCAAAAAGGAAGTGAGCCTCTAGCTTAAATTCATTTTGTCTAACGCAGCATATAACGCAGGGTTTTGTCTAATGCAGCATATTAAAATCCTAAAAAAAGGCTTTGATTAAGCTATATACTACACAACATTTTTTTGATATACAGTGGCTTTTCGTACATGTAGAATTGTTAATTAAGTTGGTAATTTTATACTTATTTGTAATTTAGAGTGTTTTGATGTAGCAATAAACTGCTAAATGCTTAGAAACAACATAATTAAAAAAATAAATTATCATAAAATTGTTTGAACTTTTATCCATACGCATATATGGCAAATTTGAATTTTTGGTACAAATACTTATCAATATATATTCCAGAAAAATGGGGTCACAATATAGTCATAACTCTAATGTATTTCTGTATGTATATGTATATATATGGCTATTCTAGGTCGTTTTCGACAGCGTCGACCGTATTAAGGCGTCGCCCAAATTAAAATTTGAGGATATTTTTTTTTTAAACGTTCTTTATGACCCATTTTTAGAAGTCCATAATTTTTTACTGAATTGTATCTCATCAGCAAATTTTTTAAAATTTGGGTGCCTATCATTTATAGAAACTAAAAAAATACGTCTTTTCTCTTCTAAAATTGCAAAGTTTGTTTATAGATCTAACAAAAATCCGCTTTTTATATTTGCAAACAATTTTTTAGGTTTTTTAGGAAGCCATAATGGGTAAAACGTGACATTTGGAAATTCAATGTCAAAAGTTTATTAAAGTAAGTCTAGAGTTGTAAACAATAAAAAAAAAAAAACAATACTTTCTGAAAATTTGTTTTTAAAATATATAGCGTCAAAGTATGATTAAAACATGTTTTCGCTACAAAAGTTTTTATTTTTGGATTTATAGTTATTTTGGATTTTAGATTAAATTAGAAATTTCAAATGACCATTCTCATGAAGCACAAAAGATTTATGCTGAAATTTTCAGGAATTGCTTTTCTCATTGATATGAATCAACCCTCCAAGTTTCATCAAAATCTGAGGTGGTCTATGTTGGACCTTGGTCCACTTGGCATGGAATGACCCATTACAATTTTTGGATTGACCTAATCAAATTTTTGGAATAAACAATTGAAAAATTAATGTTTTTTAGATTAGTATAATTTAAAAGTAGGCAAATGAATTTAACCCACAATGATTTAGTTGATGTGCAAAAACTTTTGACAATGATTTAGTTGATGTGCAAAAAAGTTTGAGTACTGTTTTGAATGTTTGCCCATTGAGCCTCTCTCATGCATCTGTTGTTGTCAAAATTAAGGATGAATTACAAACAGCACTAATTGATTCTTATAGTTCAGGTAACTTCATAAGTAAAAAAATAAAAAGATTTTTTGAAAATAAAATTATCTTTTAACAGAAAAACCTATATGGCCTTAACTAAAATGGGGTCTGGATTAGCGGGTTTGACCAGTTAACTTTGAAGTAAATAGTTTTATTTACAATAATGTTCAATTTAATTTCTTGAAAATCGAATTGAACATTATTAGTTCTAAGGGAAAATAACCTAAGTGCAAATGACAGTACACTTAGCACAAAAAAGATATTTGATTTGCATTGCAAATAAAAATGCTGGTCATGTTTACAAGGATTTCAGACAAAACTCAGCCACAAGCTAACAAACCAAGAAAACTTCAACTCAGCTAACAAACCAAGAAAACTTAATAAAGATGATTAAAACTTCATTGAAAGTGAAAAACCACAGTTGTTATTGAATGATGTAATTGAGCCATGTTTTTCACCACAGAGTGTCCAAGTAGTAGTTTGTAAAGAAACTGATTAAATCAGATAAAAAAAGACTCTGCATTGATTATTCTCAAACAATTACCCTAAACACTGAGTTAGACGCATATCTTTTTCCCAGAATAAATGAAATGATAAATGAACTTGCAAAACACAAAGTATTCTCTCTTTGACTTAAAAAGTGATTATCACCAGATTCTTGTAATAAAATTTTAAAAAAAAGTATACAGCTTTTGAGGCACATTATGTAATATTGCACTAATAATATTACACTAGTTTTGCTAGATAGTCTTTAAAGTTTGTTTTTTCAAATGTGTTAAATGTAATTATCTCAATCAATTAGGGTTAGTTTTTAAAAGCTGTACAAAACTGTTTTAGAATTTTAAAATACAACTGCAAACAGCTGTTTTACCGGTTTTTATATTTGGAAAATTTTTTATTTATAAATAAGTACTTGTTGGTGCTTAATGCACATGAGGAGATTTTTATTAATTTTCATAAATTCACATAAAGTTTCTTGAGTTGCCATCTGTGTCTTTATCAATGGTCAAGCATTTTTTTGTTCCAGCAAGTTTTTACATCAAGATCAACTTTAAATTCTTTTTCAAGTAGAGTTTTTTTGACTTTTAATTGAAAAACCTAATTTCGAACAATAGACAGTTTGATGTATTTTATCAACTTGCGTGAGTTCTTAAGTAAAACATTGTAGTCATTATCATCTTTACACTCATCATTTATATCTTCAAAATAAGTTCCTTCATCAAAAGAATCATTTTTATTATTATGATTATCATAGGTACAGCTTAAACCTTCAATATCATGTTTTCCCTTATAAAATATGACTTCAAGATAAAGACAATGTTAAAAAAAAATTAACCAACAATATCTAAGTTTTTTTTTACAGATGCTCCAACCTATGCAGAGTAACCAAATCTTTTTTCAAAAATATGCCAAAAACACTTCATTATTTTAATTATATTGAGTGCAATTCATGAACCCAAAATTTGAATTATTCCTGTTTTAAATGTGATATTTTCAGTTTAATCATGAATATTAACAAAATATCTTCATCCTCTTAAAGCAGTGACCTCATCTACAGTCATTCTAAATTTTCATTTATTGTCTTCCTTTAAATTTATGATATCAATCTTTTTTGCTTTCCATCATTGTGCAGAAGTTTCAATACATTGTGCAGAAGTTTTAATGCTTTCGCTAGAGGGGAGTTTAAAGAGGGTTTTCGCTAGAGGCTTTCAATGCATTGTGCAGAAGTTTCAATACATAGCTTTAACTAGAGGGGAATTTAAGAAAATCTAAAGCTATTGACTAATGAATGTATTAATTTCTGGTTATGGCTTGAACCGAAATGCCAACGACAGTCAAATCAGAGACAATATTTTTAAGACTCTTTAGTGCAAAGAAGTTGCCAAAATTTTTTGTCTATTCTTGCATGCTCTCTTATCTGTTTTTATATATACTTTTTATATATTTTTATGATTTAATGATTTTTGATACTGCCTTTTTAACTCTTATGTAATTGATTCTTTCTGATTTATTGCGTATGTCAAGACTGACAATGCTAAGAAAACATCAATAGAAAATAAAGATATTAATTTCATCAGCCATTTTATCCACCGTAAAAAAAAAAGTGCATGACTGGTAACTATGCAATTATTTTTAAGTTAATGTAATTAAGAAACTGGACCTAGAATATTAATACCTTTATAAAATTTTTGTACTAGATAAGTAAAATAGAATCATTAAAACAAGAAACTCCCTAGTATAAGCCTGTGTGTTCAGTTTTTTTTTAATAAAAAAATGCTACAAAATTTTTTATAAATTTATTTATCAACTATATTTATTTATTAAAGTTACTTATTATCCAAAAACTATTTATCAAATTATTATTAAGAAAGAAAATCAATCAAATTTGAATTATTTTGATAAACATGTTTTTAAAGACACTTTTCTATTAGTAATTTTATTAGCTTTTATTTGAAACCAAAGACTACGAGTGAATATATGACATATTGTAGTTCTTGTTTGAAACTTTATCTGAAAATGAAAAATGAAAAATTTTGAACATTTTCAGGTTTGAATGAATCTTTATGCTGTTAAAACTCATAATATTGAAATTAAATTTTATTGTTTAAGGCGAACATACAGTATTGGACAAAACATTTGCAACCAACATCGAACAATGCTAAAAAGTGTTCCTAATTTTACATGTCTTAAAAACAAAACGAACTATACTACCACAGCAAACAGTTTAGGAGTCTGGAGTCATAGCATGCCATGACACAAACAATCAGCTGACAGGTGACAGCACACAGGCAGAATTTCGTTGACAAGTGCCATTTTGCAGCGGACAAAACAAGTGCAACTTTTTAGGTTTGTTTCATTTTCTTAAGTCTGGTCCGTGTCAACGTCACGGAAGTTTTTTAATAATAAAAGGAAGTATCTAGATGTTTCCAGAAGTTTTCAGAAGCATGCAGAAGTTTCCAGAAGATGCATCTGGAAGCATCCAGAAGCATCCAGAAGTATCCAGAAACATTCAAAAGCATCCAAGTGCAAAAATGGCTCCCGACAGTTTTGGATTGGAACTAAGAATGAAAATTATTTGCGATTAAGTAAGTGAAATGTCACAAAAAAGTATTTGTGATAAATATCGCGTGAAAAAATGGACCATTTCAAGACTATGTTCCAAATATCATTCAACGGGGAAGTTAGCAGCAGATAACAAAGATGGAAGACCGCATTCCACCACTTCTAGAGAGGATTCTATGATCGTCAGATCCAAGAAGGATCCCTGGATATCATCAGTTGAGGTATAAAAGAAATTAGAGCTGCCTGTATCAGACCAAACAATCAGACGACGTGCTGTTAAAGCCGGATTTTTTTCTCGACGCCCTGCAAAGAAACCACTGATTTCACTAAAGAACCAGAAGAAAAGACTCCTGTTTGCTACATCTCATATTGACTGGAATGTGCAGAAATGGCGAAGTTCAACATCGAAGTTCAACATCATTGGGAGCGATGGCATTTGCCATGTACGTCGAGTGGCCGGAAAAAGCCTCAATTTACATTACTGCCATATAACCATGAAGCATGGTGGAGGCAATGTAATGGTCTGAGGGTGTTTTTCTGCTAACAGTCTAGGTCCAATACATCGAATCCATGGAATAATGGACTGTTTCATGTATAAAAATATCCTGAAAGATGTTATGTTACCTCATGCTGAATGGAATATGCCAATAAAATGGGTTTTTCAGCAAGACAACGATCCGAAACACACTGCAAAAGTAGTCAAGTAGTGATTTCAAGACAACCACCTATCGGTGATGGATTGGCTGCCTCAATCTCCGGATCTCAACCCTATTGAGAACCACAGAATTAATCGTGAAGGTGTTCGTAATAAGGATAAACTATTTGAACAAATTTAAAAGGCCTGGGCAGCGATTCCACAAAGTTTATTGATCACCTGATCAAATCTATGCCTCAAAGATGCAAGACTGTGATCAATAACAAAGGATTCGCCACGAAATATTATTAGTAAAATACAGCTTGGTCAACATTTTGTGGAGTTGCATTTGTTTTGTTCAGAAGGAAATCAACTTTTTTTAATACTTTTGATTAATTTACTAATTTTTGTGTACAAATAATGAACTTTGTGATGAATAAAACTTGAAGAACGTAGTCTCTAAACAGTTATATAGTTATTTCTTTAATCGGAAAAAATGCAGCACTTTTATATAAAGAAACTAAATTAGCATTATTTGGTTGCACTTGTTTTGTCCGATACTGTATAAAAAAAAGTTCTAGAAAAATGCTTGATCAAATTGGTAATTACTAATAAAGTACAAGTTTTTTTGCCTATAAGATCCACTTCCTAAACTACTTAAATTTTATGTCTGCAAATTTTTTTGTTCTAATGTCAGTTATATCATAGTTGTCTAATAGCTGAAGAAACCTCCACCCATTTGACATAGGTGGAGACTAGAGAAACCTCCAGCCATTTGACATAGGTGAAGAGTGGAGAAACCTTCAGCCATTGGATACTGGAGAAACTTCCAGCTATTTGACATATGTTAAGACTGATGAAACCTCCAGTTATGATATGTATGATACTATGATAAATGAGCATCATAAAATTGATAAAAAAATATGTAAATAAACATTTTATTTTATCAATTAATTGCAAAATCTGACTGTAATTCTTTTAAAGTTTCAGATTCTTTTCCAACAAAGCACAAATTTAAGGTAGAAGAGCTCAAGATTAAATGCAGAAATTACTAATTTATTAAAAAATAAACATTTTTTTTATATAATAAACTTATCTATTAAATTTTAAAATAATAAAATCAAATAGCCAATCAATATAACCAAAAAAAAAAAACTTATCTATTTAATTTAAAGTAGCAGTTTAAATTAATTAGATAAGTTTATTATGCAATAAAGAAAATAATATTTCTATTAAAAGATAATATTTCTAATAATATTTCTTTGTAAAGCATTCTATTCAAAGTATTTTTCTGAATTTTTTTTATAGTTAAATAAACCTCTACAATAAATTTAAACACATTATATTAATATACCTGCTTTAAAAAATATCAATATTATTCTTCGACTACTTCCACAGTTGATATTCCATTTGTCTCTGGTAATATGCAGCAACAAATCCCCGAAATAAAAAGAATGGATCCCATTACACAAAAAGGAAGAGTTAAATGAATATATCCTAAAAATTGACTGACCCATGGTGCAGATGCAGCACCTAATACACCTGCCCATGTACAAACTCCAATTCCTTGAGACCTAAATATAAAATTATTTTCTTTATAAAGTCTTATAAATTATTTTTCAGGTCTTATAAAGTAGTTTTAAACAATATTAATTTTTGCATAATTTATCACAAAAACAGCAAACTATGTTTTCTATATAGTAAATCTATGTTTATTAAATATTAACAAGTTTTATCCGACTGTTTTTAAAATAATAATTGTGATTTGATAAATTAAGAACAGGCTATCAACTTTTGCTTCACTATATAAAACCTAAGCTTGTATTACTAGCTACTCAGCAAAACCTCATTCTTAATCTGCAATTGCTTCTTTAAGCTCAAAAAACTATAACTTATCTAGTTTTTTCCTTAAAACACGGATACTTCAAAATTTTCTCCCATATTCAAGCTTTCACCACTCTTGCAATCACTTAATTTAGTATTTTTTGCACATGTATAAATCAATTTAGTATTTTTCAGAATGTAATTTTGCTTTCTTTATCCAAAACCTTGTTAAAGTTATATTTTAATGTGTAAGTACACCTTTTTAAATGTAATTTTTAAATTTATATAAAAAAAGTTATTTAAATATTTTTAGGTTGAATTGTATAAAATAAGCAGTGATACCACAAACAAAAAACAACAAAAACTTGGTAAAGTAATTTAGTTCATATTGAGAAAGTAACAACAAAAAGTACCTTTTTTAATTTTCCAGCCACAACAGAAAAATCAATTTCACGAAAAGTTCGATAATTCAGTGAATAAATACCACAGAGAACAAAATAAACAGATAGTCACAGTGTCACCAATTATAATGAAATATTGTTTGATATTACAAATGAAAAAGGGTTAATGGTTAATAAGCACTGAATAAAAAAGTTGAAAAGAAATGGAAAAGTAGGATATGCTACATCAAAAATTGTTCACACTCATTTAAATGTATCAAAGATAAAGAAACTGTTGTCAGCAAAACCCAAAAATGTCTAATTCTTGCTTTAGTAAAACTTTAGTAAAAACATAAGCTGATGATGATTATGCCCCCATTAACTAGCAATACCAGTAAACCCCAAAGAAAATCTTTATTTCCCTCATCTGTTTCTTTAGTGAAGAATGTAAAGCTAAGTAGAACAGAACAACAATGTATGTCATCAATATTCAAAAGAATGTATTAATATTGAAACAGGCAGGTATTTACAAAGTAGTATTGAAAGGAACTGATAGAATAAAAGAAAAACTAACAAAAAATTATTAAAAAAAATTATGGATACTACAGTTTGATGGAAAAAAGATTAAATAGAAAGAACTGCAAGCTGTAGTTTAAAATAGTTAAATAGTTTATTATAAACAATATAATAATATTCATTATCAAATCAATCATTAGGCAATCAGAAACCAAGCGCTTACAATAGAAAGTGATCAGCCCTGGTTAAAAATGAGACTTTTTGCAAACCCAGCCCTGGCAAAATTATAAGATTTAGCA